CAGGCATGCAGGATTCGGAGTCCAGCCATCAGCATGGACATATAATATTTCTCAGAGGGGCTGTCTGCTTTCTCTGGGGATAAAAATCGCTCGAAGTATGAGATAGTGGCTGATGAAATGTAATAGGAGCGCTGCTCTTGGTGGCACGCATCCCCAGGTGCAGGCAGCCAAGTCACCCATACACCAACGTGCTGTATAAAATGTACCTGATAAAATGCACGAGACAGGGCAGCCCCAGCAACCTTGAGAAGGCAGGAGGATTTTAGGTTGTATGCAAACTGTTGGCTTTACCACGTAAAATGCTGAGAAACCTCCACTGCTGCTGCCCCAGGTTTTTCGCCTGAGATATTTTCTGCCAAGCGGTTCTACAGCTCCTGCAAAAAGAGAGTTCCCTGACATCTGGTGTGTGTTAACCTTTGCACTCCTTAGCCAAACATTAGGCTTTGCTAGTCATATGATAAGGTATATTCAGTGAAGAGAGTGGAATAATGGCAAGTTTCTTTTTAAAAAATAATATTAYATCAATAGACACTGTTGTTTCTGCAGCGTAGATTAATGCTTTGGTGTGACTTCCCTGCAGTCAGAAAGCAATGGACTTAAATATTTGTAACCRAAGTAGCAAATATAAAACGCACAGGAGAAACTGAATTGGAGACGACCATGCTTGGCCTTGGATGGGATGAGATAATTCAGGACAAAACAGCAGGATTGCTGTGGTGACTTGTGAGAAGGAAACGGCAGCCAAGGGGCCGCCTGTCAGCTCTCCCGCACGCCTCCACCAGCAGCGCACGTGGCTCTAGACGGCCACAGAATCACAGGGTGTTCAAGGTTGGAAGGGACCTCTGGAGATCATCTAGTCCAGCCTGCCTGTGTGTATCTCACTTAGGCAGCCAGTACCTAGAAGAGAGACCTGGTCACCTCACCCTCCAGCCTGGTGAGAAAGGTGAGCAGGTCGCCTGGTAAAGAGAGGCACTGTCCACAGTCTGCAACTTGGGCATCTATTCCACAGGAAAAAAGTGTCATGGGAAAGAGAGCTCGGGAAAGGCAGGTGATGAAGGTCACATCACATGGCTGTAACTGCGCCAGACTTCCAGTGCACAGAGGGAAGGGAGTAGTTATTCACCCCCAAAGGGTYGCAAATTTACTTGGATGAAGAGCAGCGGCTCTGCTGGAGAGAATCCTTGGGCAGGAGCCTCTGGATGTTTTGTCTAGCTTGCATTCTCTTAGCACCTTGTTTTCCTGGCCCTTGCACTAAGTGTCTTGGAGGAGATGCAGAAGACATYGCAGCCTTTGCCAGCTGCCTCGGACAGTTTTGCCATTGTGCTGCAGGCCTGTGATCTCTGCAAGCTTTTCCTCTTACATTGTCAGGGAGAAGTATGAGTAGGTGGTTTAAGAAAACATTAATGGGGATATGTCATAGCTTTAAAAAGTGTTTGAGGGGAAGCAGAGCTGTTGCTTCCAATTTTTCACTCTGCTGTCTCCCTGATGACATACAGTCATATCCACTTAAGTAATACCTTATGGAAAAGGAAGTGCCATGTTTTTATTAGACATTTTTTATTACCAGCTTTGGTGAAAAGTGCAGTTGTGAGCAAGTATCTTATTCCTTTATCCCTTTCACCAGCTTGTAATGCTGACAGAGAACGGCTCTTTCAGGGAGACGGAAATTTGCACCAACAGGGGCTATGGTATGTGGAAAATAAACCTGAAATGCTTAGGGCTGCAAGTGGCTTCTCCAGTTGTAATTGTATTTTATGAAGGCAGATGCCACTGTCTGCTGTGTAAGGACCTTGCCTTATGAGTTAAGTGTAGATTTATGGCTTTATCATCTTGAAGAGTACAAAATTCAACTCCTTATTGCAAGCGTATTTGTCAAGAGTGAGTAAGAGGGAATAGTGTATTTTGCTGGGAGGCCCTTTATTTATGTGCTCTGGACTGCATAACACGTAAGATATTCATTTGAGTTTCTTAAATGGTAATTACTTATTCATGCATGATTTGGGCAGCATGTCTCGGAAGTCCAGGCATTTGGTTTGTTCAGCTAAAACTTTGCTGTTGTCTTCTCACAGAGCTGCTAGAAAACATTGGGGGTTAAGAACAATTTTGGGTTTTAGATAAAACGCTTCTCTTCCTGTGTTTGAAAGAGGCAGCACAGGCCCAAAGGACTTCGGCACATATCGGCAACTGTATACAGACATGTCTGTGGTACTGTATGGGAAGGACTCTGGTTCCTCTGCCTGCAGGGGCTTCCTGTGGGAGATGTGTTGGATCCTGCCTGGGCTATGTCAGTGACTGTGCACCAATTATTTATTGAGCTTCAGTCTCGGGAAGCAAGGCCAAACATCCCCAGGTAGCTTGCTTTCCTTCCCCAGGGTGAATAAAGCCTGATGTGTGTTTCTGAGCAGAATAATTGCAGGTCAGAGATTTTTGTTCCCTGGTGACAGGCTTGCCTGGAAGATTATTGGCACCAAAGGATCAGAGGTCAAATGCTTTGATGTCAAAATGTTCCATTGTGACACACTGGAATCTCAGAATAAGCAAACAGCTTCACGAGGAAACTCCAACATAAAATGATCTTATGGGTGACTTGTACCTACTTGCCAARCATCAGTTCAAGAGCAGTTTAGGAGCTCTAATTATAGGTGCTTATGGAGGAGAGATGCACGCTGGCTGCTCCAGAGAAATGAGTGGACTTTGGCAGGTGACAGTGCTGGCTGCTCTGAGCAGTCTCTGGATTGTGCCTCTGAAACTTGCTGCATTTACCAGTGTTCGCATCCCTGTTGCGGTCACAGTGCAGAAAATACCTTGTATAACGTCATACTTCTCAAGTTTCTTTATTTTTAAGTCATTTTGCATTACTCTATACTTCAAAACACTTGTTTTTCATCTATCAAATAGCCTTTTTAAAGATAGAGCAGCATGGGCATTTTTTTCATATTAGACACATTAATTCTTAGCTTTTTGAAAATAATTCAGCACATTTGTTACAAAAAAAAAGTTCATACTAGCTCTTCTGAGATCTTCTACAAAGTGGAATGACCACCGATGACCTTATGCATTTATCATCCAGATATGTAACTTTATATTAACCATATCTGTGGAGCTTTTTGAGTTAAAGCCCAATAAGAATACCTCAGATTAAGTTGAAATGGATGCGTGATATGTATAGTAAGTACAATTCCATGCTACAGATGCAAATAGTGCTTACCGTTCAAGTATTTAAACATGAGTTTCAATAGTCTCAAAACTCATGATGCAATATGATAGTGTGAAATTCTGTTTTAAAAAAGCAAAATTACCCTAGAATACATTAAACAAAAAGAAGAAATAGAAACAGACATTATGCTTTCCTAAAACTTTATAACAAACTTAATATAATACAAGTTTTGATTGAAAGGAGAACATTTTCAAGTGGAAGTGTGGTTAAGATACTTGGCGTTGCCAGGATAGCTTATTATCTTGTATTGGAAAGGGGTTTTTTAATATATTATTTACATTTGATATAGGGGCGGTTGACTATTTCAGCTTTAGTGGCTTTAAACTTTAAACTTTAAAGTTAAATTTCCTGATGTTCTCCAAACCTCTCATAGGCAGCTGTAATTGAGCAGTGATATAACCAAAATGGAATGACAAAAAAGCCACAATATGTCTACATGTTTTGAAGAGAAATGACACTGCATTTGTATGAGTTGGCTGAAGAGTTACTACACTCCAAAAAAAAAAGGGGGAAAAAAAAGTTCGCACAAAGAATAACCTATTAATGGAAAAATTACAAACAGGCAAAAAGGCTAAGTTGGTCACATAACTGCATGATAAACCCAGATATTGATTTTGGGGTCTATGAGTAATAAGTATAAATCCAGACAATACCTTGATTGGCAGATGTATTTGGACATACATCTACACACGTGTGCTTGCTTTTTTGTCTCCAATGAAAAACAAACCAAGAACAGGAAGGCAGATAAATTCAGCTAAATCACTCCCCATAATACTGCTTTCTGCTTCTTCTAACAGTCCTAAACTCATAAAGGAAATATTGTATGTTCAGAGAGCTTCCAGAAACAAAAGAAAGTCATGAAAGAATAGCTTTCCTTCGGTTAAGTAGACAAAAGTGTCTAACATAAAACAATGATAGCTACTGTGTCCAGAAGACTTAATCTTGTTGTATCTGATGTGCTATTTGGTAATGATTGTTTTGAGAAATATATTTCAGATTTAGCAATAGAGTTTTGGGATTATTATAAGCTTAGAAGAAATCTCCTGCCTCTTACCATCAGCAAAGCACCTGCCCTCTGTATTCCTAAGGGGAAATCCATCTCTTCCACTGCAGACAAGCTGCATTTGGCATTTATAGTTTTGCCTGCAGTGTTTTTTGTTTTGTTTTGTTTTCTATCCTATTGCTTAGCCACACTTGTTTTCTGCTCATATTCCATGAGAACTCAGTGACTATCAAAACATTTATTGCTGGTTTGGAGAAAGGCACAGGGAAAATGTGGCTCCAAATGCAGAATGCATAAAAGAGACCAGAGAAGGGTTGGATGTGAATATGACATTACACTGCCACTCACCGAACTCTTGCCTGGTGACCTATATCTTCTGAGCATTTGAGTCCCTAGGCAGTGTTATTCCTGCTTTATATTTAGTGTTCAGAAGTGTTTATATTGCTTTTTTTCTGAAGTGTTTATATTGCTCCTGCTTTATATTTAGTGTTCTAAATAACTTCAGAATATTTAGTTAATATTCCGAAGACACACCTGGCGTAGTAAGACAATTCCAAAGAGTTAAATTCATTCAGACAATAATCAGAGTCATACCTTTCCTTGGATTTTTTTTTCCCCCCCCTGTGTTCTTTAAATGTCTCTGCACTTAAAGCATCATTCCCCTTCCAAGGGCTCAGGACTGCAGGTTTTGCAGGCAAGCCCATTTCACAGCTGCTGTCCCCTCTCCATGTCCCCTGATGAGCAGTGTCCTCTCCATACCCCTCCTCGTGGCCACACGGACTATTCGGAGCTGGCGGAGGCAGCAGAGTCTGCATCTTCTGCGTCGTGGTCCTGGGGGGACACCGGCTGTCCGCCTTTCACGCGCTTCCACTTCATTCTTCTGTTCTGAAACCATACTTTCACCTGGATCACAGAGAACAAAATATTACTTATTGGCTCAGTTAAGCTGGGTACGCACCCCATGCATCTACGTGCACATCGATAAATGGATGTTTTGTGGAATTCTGCAAGAAAGGTGGGACATCCCAAGGCTAATTAAGCCATCTCTCTAATGAGGGCAGGGATAATTCGCTCTGATCTGTTGTAGACTGAGGTTTCTCCTAGAAACCAGTAAAGGCAGCACAAGTGCTTTGCCCAAGGTCCATCTCTGTATGGGCTAATCAGGTCAGTTTAATGGGCATGGTACCCCTGAAGGCCTTTTAACAGCCAGGCAAACCAATCTAATGTTTCAGGGATTGTAATTTGCTTTATTTGACCAATTCCTTTGTTGTCCATTAAGCTTTAATAAGGAAACCCGGGCCATCACAATGGGAGAACAGAAATATCTGTCTCTGCAAAACTCTGTGTTTTTGTCTTCTCTTATCCTGTCAAAATAGTACATGACCCAGGAAAAGTGCAAGTTATTAATCCTGTAACATTTAAGCAACATCCTGGTAACTGGAACCTAACCTAATATCTATATTCCTTCTGCAAACCACASGACTTCAGTATGCAGCAAAGACTGGTGAAAAACAACAGCTCAGTAGATACCAGTCATTCATGGATGTAATTCTAAACTACAGAGACACATTTATTAACACCTTGAGGTAAATTTCAAAGAATATGCTTTGAAAGAATGTAGAGGTTTTGTACTAAAATACTTTTGGAGCTGACAAAAGTCCACCCTTGAGTAATATAGCAGTTCTTATTAGGAAGAAAATGTGGGGGGGCTGGGGAGGTAGGAGTTGGGGAATTACTTGTCTCTCCGTGAGATCCAGGTTTACAGCTATCTCGTATCTCCTGAGCCTTGTCAGGTAATTATGGTGGGCAAATTCAGCTTCCAGCTCCCGTAGCTGCTCCTTCGTGAAAGCTGTCCTTTCCTTCCGCGATTTGCTGCTTCTTTCTGGCTTGGTGCTTGAGTTCTGGTTTTCTGAGAGGCAAGCACACATGTGGTGTAATTTGCAGTTCCGCTCAGCAAGGGGAATGTGCGTGTCGCAGAGGTCTGATGGAAACCTCAGACAAGCCATCGGCATGCTGCATTGTGGTTTAGTGAGATGCTAGCTGGTAATGCACCAACCAAGAAAAATGATTTTATTTTGTAGCGTTTCTCTTCAGGTGATTTTGAATTTTTCTTTATTGGCCTATTAATTTCTGAAGAGAGGGCTCTGGGCACCTAGGAAGGGAAAATTCTCCAGTGCAGCCAGAGGCCCTTCCAAGCACATGGCAGAGTTGCAGTGCAAGCTCGGGAAGCAGTGATTAAAGCAGTGATGGGCACTCCCCTGTTCACTGTATTTTGTCCSGGAGAGTGGCAGAAGGTTGTGAGTGGGATGACAGGTAATTCCGTGGGTTGCATGGGGAGCCAAGAAGGGCAGAGGTGAGAAGTGGTGGCATCAATTATGGGATCTTTTTCTGCCGCCCAGGGGAGCTGCTCAGGGGGCAGCAGCCGCTGCTGATGGGTTGGGGGCATTTTGTGTTGCAGTGAGGGCATTGCTCACGTTGCGCCCACATGCTTATGGCTTTGGGCAGACAAGTGTGAAAAGAAAAGGTCAGGGCTGCAGGCAATAAATGGCAAAAGGAGCATTTGTCTTCTCAAAACAAGCATGTGCTTGGGAATCACCCCCTCTCCTTAGGGCTGAGGCTGTGGTGACAGCACGTCTGCACGGCGAGACTTGGAGGAGCCCAGCACAAACACAGGCGATCAGCAAAGCAAAATCAGTTCACTTTTGGTGTTCCGTACCCTAAGCTTCTCTAGGTAAAGAATTACAAAGCGTTTTCTTCCTAGGCTTGCTTTCTTAACCCCGGAGCTCATCGGTGCTCCCGTCCCACGCCCCCGGTTTTGAGACCTACCTGAGTTTTCCTTCCTCCTCCTGGACGCCTTTGGCTCGGTCCTGTTCGGAGCGACACCCTGCAGCTCGTAGGTGCCCCGCGCGGCCACGGCAGCGCCCAGCAGGTCGGGGCTGCCCCCGTGGGGCTCCGCCGATGCCAGCGCCGGCTGGGGACGTCGCGCGGCCTCCGGGTGCCAGCGGGCGCGCTGGGGAGCGGGGCACCGCTCCTCCGGCGCCCGCCGCTCCCGCGGGAAGCTGTGCGGAGCCGCCGCCGGGCAGGAGGCTGCGAAGTCGCAGTACGGAGCGAAATCCGGCTTGGGGTGGAAGGAGAAGGGCGCCGGGGGGCCGAGCCCCGCGGCCGCGGCGCCCCGCGCGCAGCCCCAGAGCGGCGCGGGAGCCGGGGCGCTCCGCGCGCAGCCGCCGCCCGCGGCCTCCATGGACTCGTCGCGCCGCTGGCCTCCCGGCCCGAGGGGCAGCCCCCGTGGGGATCGCGCTGGCAGCAAGCAGAAATCCAGCTGCTCCCTAAAAACCGGTCTGTGCATGAGCTTTGTGCTGCTGCAAGCGTGCTACTTTGGGAGCGCTTCTAAACATCCGCATGGTCCCGTCTGGAAAACCATAAGCAGATCACCCCGGAGCGCTTCCCAAGGCCCGGGGCTTTCGTCCTAGTGGGGCGCTGGACATGGGTGAAACTTTTTAAATCCTGTGCCGGGGGGAGAGTGACAAGTTTGTGAAGTGAAATGTGAGCAAGGGAGGGAGGGGTTAATCTGCCTACACCGAGTCCCTCCAACCAAAGCGGAGCAGGCACCTATTAATCACCCGAAACCTTATATGCGCGTCTAATGGGATTTGCAGATGCAGACTTTTAAAGAAACATCATCTGTATTTGTTTTTTTTTTTTGTTTTTTTTTTTTTTTTTTCAAAGGGAAAGAGTATTTTTTTT